ATGACCACCTGATTTGATCCCTTCCTTAATTTAGACTGAAGAGCCAATCTCAGGCTTTAAAACTTCTGGGTCTTCTTTGCTTTATATAAATTAGCTGCCAAAGCATGACTGAAAAAGGTATTATATAAAATAAAAATAGAAAGAGGAAGAGAGGACAATCAAGGGCACTGTTTAAGTTTCACAGCAACTAAATGCCTGGTATTTGCAATAGCCTTGCCTTGACCTCCACCTGGACAGCATTATGATACTTCTTTCATTGCTGAGATCAAGGCATATACGGTCAAAAGAGTATCATATTTTATTTAAACACACTGCAGAAGGACATTAAATTTTACAGGTCAGATTCTCCATGGTGCTTGAGCAGAGCTGGGGCTGCAGGGGGGAGCAAACAGCCAGCTCGCTGCCAAGGTGCAGCTTCCCTTTATCTGCCTTGGAATAAACATCCTCAGCCTTGTTATGGCTGGACAGGTCCCTCAGCCCAACAAACCCTCTCTCCACCTGGATTTGAGGGTTGGCAGCTGACAGGAGCTGCAGTACTGCCTCAGCCAGCACCATTTTTTAATAGATTTGAGTCCCGTGGTGAGACAAAGTCCTGTTGTACCAACAGTTGCAGAAGGGGATGGCAGCTCTGCCAGTCCGTATCAGGTGTTTGCCCCCCGAGAGCTCCTTGGCACAGGCGGAGGTCCCCACCCGCTACGCAGAGGCCCTCTCACGTCACCCCACGCCTAAACATTGCAACTGTACATAAAGGTACTAAGGCAAGTTTCAGTGACTCAACCTCACAGTATGGGTATGCAAAACCATGGCCATTTATCCTCCCTGGCCACATCACGTTAGACCTGCACCTTACTAGCAGCAACCATTTCAACCACATGATGCATGTATTTTGACCATAACTATGAACCCAAATATGAAATGAGGTCCTGGCGTGCCCCATCTAAGGCACCTGAAATGACTACGTCCAGAGCAAAGTCTCCCTATCGCACAGCCGGTGAGAACAGGCGAGACATCTGCGGATGTTACCGCCCTGCGAATGCATGTGACCCCCTGGGCATCAGCATCAGCGCTTGTATTTTCGACGGCGCAGCTACGAGCCTCAGCTGATAGGAGAAGCTCAGCTCTCCCTGCTGCAGACACAGAAACAACACTGACACACAGAGAGGTAAATGGTAGGAAGGCACCAGGACCAGCTTCATCTTATCTGGGGCAAACTTTTACCCGTATAATAGAATAAAAATCTCTCGGGGACCTTAGAACAAAATGGTTTTTTGGTCTAGCAGCCATGTCTCCCTACTCCAGGCTCCATGTGGGCCGCGGGTTTAATCTCATCCTCCTGCAAAGACACTGGCAGGAGCAGGGCTACCCTCAACTCCATCGACTGCTCCGCAGCTGCACGCTTCAGACAAAGCCGCATTCAGGTGTGTACGCCTATTAGGGCTCTAATACTGGAAACAGAAGTGGAACGGACAACCAAGGTAATTTAATCTAGCAAGATAATTCACTTCCAGCATTACCCCCCACCCCCTCCCACTGCCCCAAATGAATCAGTGACAAGCACCCAGCCTTTTCCTAATGGAAAGGGAATTGTATGCCTATTATCTTTACCCTTCACTCCATACAAACTGTAGAAACGTCTGTACCTGATTCTGAGCTTATTGATATCGCTGTGAACAGGGGCAGCTTCCACAGAAGTAACTACGCTGCTACTACTGTACAGCAGGATGGAGACCTGAATTGGGCACCTGTTACTTAATGCAACTCTCTGAAGTCAGATTTAACTTTCTGGATGTTTTTTTCTTGTTGCTGCTGCTGTTGGTTGCTGAAAGCATGAAGCTCAACATGTGAACTCTCACAAGAAGAAGAAAGCCTCTCCTCCGTTCCCCTCTCTCCCCACCCTGCCTCCTTGCAGGGCATGTATACAAAACAAACACAAAACAGCTCCCTTAGCTGTAGTGACTTGAGACATAAAAAGTAGGAAAACCCCCCTTACTCCAAGAATTTCTCAGTGAGGTGTCACTTTTTATCCCTTCCACAGACTACTTTTCAGAGCAGATACTTCTTTAAAGTACTCCCTATCCCTGCCCGCACAGGAAAATAAAAAATAACATCTTCAGCTATCTAGGCACCTTCTTGAATGTTGGGAGGCGATACAGAAGATTATTAAATTCTACACATTCGACTACTCTTCACTCTGCAAGCTTTCCATTCACTACTTCTTAACCTTCAAAGCAAGTCTGTACCTACAGATGCAGGCAGTTGTGTAAGCCTGATGGGCAGTGACCTCTCCGTCCCGCACCTGAAGGGCTGCCAGCACTTCTGTGGAATCGGGTTGGGGAAGTCAACTACACCCACTCCTTCCCACAAGGGGTAACGCACAGTGTCCCACACCTGCTAGGAGGTCATTTCGAATCATTTCCATTCATTTCAAATAATGGCAGGCTTTCACTAGGTCTCCTCCATAATTCTTAATCAGGCATTTGTGTGTGGTCTTACCAGTGATGGATGTAGTTGTCTAGCCCTGACTCCGTTGGTCCACCGCCAGCAATCTGCAGGCCAGGCAAGTTGGGAAAGCCTTATGTGTTATGAAGTGCCAGGAAAGGGAGGGAAATCTGAGCTGGATTTTATGCATTTTAACATGCACATGCTAGTAAATGCAGAGAACCCAAACTTCACCTCCCACCCCTTCTTGCTCTACCAAGGGTGGGATGCAGAGCATGACAGCAGTCACCCGCCTTCCAGGGCTCCACCTTTCCCACCACTCAGGTTGCATGGCTGAGCTCCCTGTACATCACCCAAGCTTTTTTGGGCCACCAACACGACGTCATTGATGTCGCCGCTGCAACAATCAACCCTGAAGCACAAGGCGGTGATTGTTTCCCCGAATCACGTTCACAGCACGTTTGTTCCAGCAGGCTTGAAAATGAGGGGATGAGGCAGGCTAGGTTTTCCTGCTCAGTAGGTTTTTGCTCCAACCTAATTAAAAACATCCAGCAATTCACTGAAGTTCCTTGCAAACTGTGGGCTTTAAAATAAGCTCTGAAAGCAAACAGCATGATTTTTTTTTCCTTTAAATGCACTCCCCAGATGGAGAAGATTCCTCAGAAAAATCTTTGTGATAGTGTAGCGAAG